ATATACCATAGTATTTATAAGTGAAATGATGTGATGTCTGGGATCGTGGCTTTAAATCTCAGCAAGAAACGGAAGTGTTGAGGAAAAAAGATGAACCAAGAATGCCAAAATGTTATTTGTGGAAGCTGGGTGATAGACACATGGATTTATTATACTATTTCCCTACTTTGTGTAAACACGAAAATTTACAATAAATAGTTAAAAAATATAGGCCAGGCGAGGTGGCTCACGCCTGTAATCTTAGCACTCTGGGAGGCCGAGGCAGGAGGATCGCTCGAGGTCAGGAGTTCCAGACCAGCCTGAGCAAGAGTGAGATTCCATCTCTACTAAAAAAAATTAGCCGGGCATGGTGGCACACGCCTGTATTCCCAGCTACTTGGGAGGCTAAGGCAGGAGGATCACTTGAGTCCAGGAGTTTGAGATTGCTGTGAGCTAGGCTGAGGCTGACGCCATGGCATTCTACCCTGAGTGACAGAGTGAGACTCACTCTTAAAGAAAAAAAAAAAGAAAGAAAGAAATGACAAATATAATGCACTATCCTAGATGGGGGAAAAAGGTTGCTTTGGACAATACTGGACAATTAGCAAAATCTGACTATGTACTTTGTTTTTGACATTTTTAACATTGTATCAATGTTAAATTCTCCAAATTTGATCACCACATCGAGGTTATACAAGAGGATTTTTTTTTTTTTATCTATCTACTGTGTCCCAGGCTTCTTTATTTAAGAAAAAAGTGATGAATGATGTGGGTATTAAAATCAAGAGCATCGTTGAACTTCACCTCCCAACAAGCTCCCCCAAAACTCCCTGCCCCCACCCTTTGTGTTCCCAATTCCTTCCTTCGTGATTGAAGAACCTATTCCCAAAAGCCCGGTACAAACAAACTCCAGGTTCTCCTTCCCGAGCTTCCCCCCTTGCCCAGCCCCCCATTCCTATAAGGGCAGGCACCTCAGTTTGAATGCATGGGAGAGCCCAGAGTGCTGACGGAGACAGAGGGAAAGGCTTCCCTATCAGGGAAAGGGACTGAGGAGTACAGG